AATAAAGGTAATAATTAAAAAGAAGACATTAGCAGTGTGTCCAATCCATAGTACCATTAACAAATCATATTTAAGCACAGAAAGCTGTTGTTCTAAAGCCTAAATCATTGAGTGAATGTGGGTTTGGATTCTCCCTAGATTTCCATCATATTATGCGTTCTATTTTTCTCTTGGTGGGTCCTAGAAAAGTGTGTGTTTGTGTGTCTGCCACCACCATCCTCTACAACGTTATTTAATGGTAAGTCTTTCAGGCACAGTGCTACTTTGTCTGATGTAGAATGAAGAATAGTACGTTTTGACACTTCCATGTTTTTAAATGGTGAGAATCAGTGTCTGATTTCAGTAAAACAGTAGTTTTAAAGAGTGGCTTTAACTAGACTGAGAGAGAGGAACTGTTTTGTTGGCAACTTGATGCTGATTCTGCTGTGAAACTATAAACAGTAAAGAAGCAGTTGTGAAAATATAACCGTGCCATCAGGTGTTTTTGTTGGTTTCATCCATTTGTTGGGTAAGAAAAGTTTGATTTGTCATCAGTTATGTAAGCTATATTATTTTTAAGCCATGTTTTGTCTGAGACTGTGGTTACTTCCTAACAATTATAACTCCCTTGGAATGACTTTGTAGAGGCAAATTGTGTCAGAGTTCTGTTGGAAAACGTAGGTCGGGATATGACAAAGGAAGAATGAGCAAGTTGCAGTACATGTGTAACTACCAGTAAGTCTATGGTAATTGAGGGCTTGCTTTGATCCATGTCTTGAAAATGCAATACTAGAATTGTAAAGTAAACTTCTTTCTTGGGGAGTCTGTATTTTTGCTTGATAACATTTTACTTTCTCTCTGAAAATACTTGTATTAGTTTAATTATCATTTTTATCCTTTTGTGCTTAGATTTTTCTTTAAAATTAGTACCTATCAGGGGGATGAGGCATCTGTATAGAAACTAAGCAATAAAGTAGCTTAGTGAAGATAAATTGGTAATTTTTTTTATGAAATAGAAGGATAGCTCTTATTAGTGACAGACTGACTCAGAAATAGAAAGATTTATTATGTGGGGGGCACAATTATTTGGGCTGAGGGGCCACTTAAGGAGTTTTGGTGAGCTGTTGTGGGCTGGGGAGGGGTGTTGCTGACTCAGCCCGGCATGGGTGGAAGGTGGGTGCTGACCTGGTCCTGGTGGGGGAAGGGGGAGTGGCAACTGATCCTATCCAGGGGTGCCAGATGGGCAGGTGGAGTCTCCATGAAGACAGGCCCAGGACTCCAGCTGGAAGGATACAGTTGGCTGGACAAATGCAGTGGGGCCATGGGTAGGAGGCAGCGTCTGGGAGCAGGTTGGGCATGCAGGCTGGGGCTGTGATCACAAAGCGGTGACAATGTAGAGTTGGGACCTGGGGCAGAGCTGCAATCTGCTCCCTACATGTCCCTGCCCATGGAATTTTGGCGCCCATCACAGGGATGTGCGGAGAGCAGTTTGCAGCTCTTCCCTGGGCCCTGGACCTGCTCTGTCCCCACCCCATGATCCTTGCCCCAGCCACCTGTCCTACTCTTGGACATTGCTCTCCCCTTGCCCACTGCCTTGTCCCATCCACCTGGCTGAGTGGGCCCTGCCTGCTCGGATCCTGGGCCGGTTTTCATAGAGACCCCACCCACTCCTGCAGTGGGTGTGGGGAGGATGGGCCAGGGTGTCCAGGCAGTGGGGCCAGGTCTGGCGGTGGTGCTGCCCCTGCCCTGCCGCATGCCTGGGGGCAGCAGGACAGGCCATGAATTATGCCCCCCGTGACTGGGCTGGACAGGGCCAAGGGATCTGCCATGGGCTGGATAGAATCCTTTAGCAAGCCAAATCCAGCCTGTGGGTCATTTTCTGCCCACCCCGATTTATTAGATACCTACTAGATGTCTAAGTTGGGGCTTAGCCAGCAGGGAACAAGGGTAGTACCCTTTTGGGAAGCTCAGACTTCTGTTTTTCTTGCCTTTGTCTCCTTTCTCTTCAAATAGGAATGGATGCTAGTAATCTTTGCCCTTAACCCTATTGCAATCAGACTTTTAATGTTGCTAATGGGTAAGAGACAGAAGTGCTTATAATAATTGGATCATGTCTCTGTATTAATACTGGAACTGAACACACAATTCCAGTCACAGTATGTCTTTCTGTCCAGCAAATAGCTGTGAAACCTACTGGTAAAGTATGTGGCATAATTCCTATATAGTGGCAGTCCCCCAAGGAGGACAACAGCCTTGTACTCTGTTAGTTTAGAGGGATGAGGATTCTGCAGTGGTTGCAAACCTCAGCAATGACTCATGTGAAGGATTGGAAGGGTTTCATATGCTGATACATTGGGTTTTTTCAGTTCAGTTGCCTAAGGTTTTAAAATTAATTCCCGCCCTCTCCCCCACATGCATACACTAAGAGAGCATCAAGGTTACAAAGTCAGCTGCTTAAAATTAGGAAATGACTGAATTAAGGTTATCCCTATCAGTTTAATTTAGCACCCTTTTGCATGTACTTTTATTATGTGATCACATTATGTTTTTTCCTACAGAATCCACAGTCTCAGTTAGTGCACAGAGTGGGCTGCTCTGTAAATTTATTTAGACATGGGTAGTTGACAAAGGTGTGCACTCCTTTGTCCAGACGTGGGTAGTTGACAAAGTTTAGGAGTGGGTCGAGAACAAGAGCTACCTATACAACTAGTTACTGTCATGTTTAATCTGAATGTTCCAGAGCTCTCATTGAATTTTTAAAATGTATATGCAGGTCTGTCTGCCTCTTCAATGACTGGGTAGAAGTGATCAGATGCTACTGCTATCCTAAGTAAAGCTGGTCATCAGGCTTGGAGGATCCTCTGATTAGGGCAGTGCCCAGCTAGGAGCCTAAAGAGAGCATCAATGGGAAGGGAAGAGGGCTGTGAGGGAGTGTATCTCTTTAGCTGTAGTTGATCTCCTGATCCAGTTTGTTCCAGGGGAGAGGTAAATGTCTCAACCACAGAGCAGAACATGTAGAGAGAACGTGATTGTATGCTCAAGTGGGAGGAGGAAATAAAGGATAAAAGAGTAACTAAAAGCTTAAGAATCTGAAGGTGTGTAGCAGAGTGACTCTGGTTATAATTTTATCTGATATTAACAATGCTTCCTCTTTTGTGTAAGTATGGAAAGAAAGACATAGTATAGATATTTTTCCTAGACAAGGTAAAAATGTTTTGTCATATTTAAATTTGGAAATTACCAGTATTTACTTCCTTAGTACATGTATGCATATTTTTACGAAACTACATATTGTATATATGCTTCTTATAATTTCCCATTGTAAAATAAAAAATACCGTTTTTTGGTTAGGATAACTTATAGCTGAACTTAAAATATTTACATTTCAGGGTTGGATTCAGGTGCAGGATTCTAGATGAGGAATGTTGAGGGTCTGAAAAGGATTGATTTGGAACAAAAGTTCCAAGCTTTTTTTTTTTTTTTAAAAAAAAAAAAAAAAAGGGGGTGAATGTTAACCTGATCCAGCTCCCAGCGGAATAGGTAGAAAAACTCCCTTTGACTTCAGTGTAGGGCACTGGATCTGGTTTCAAACAGAACTGAACAAGCCCTAGTGTTATCAGAGCACTTGGAAAACCAGTGCATTGTACAGATAACTTATTGTGCAGGTGTTTTTGTTTACCAGTTTAAAATCTCAGCTGCTAAAGTAGTATGAGGTTGAATACCCTTGGATAGATTTGCAGTTTTAAGGTTATATCAATGCTGATTCTTTGTATGTACTAGGAAATCTAAAAACTGTGTGTGTCCTTAAGTCAGTGCCTTTTACCAAATTACAATTTTTTTTCAAGTAACTATAACTATTGGACACTTATTGACGTGGGGAATTTTGATACCGACGCTAACACTCAAATTGAAATTCGTTCAAACATCTGGATTACCCTCAAGGCCATCAACATCACTGAGTGCTTCTGAAAAGTATCATAGGGTCTTTAATGGGCTTGAGTGTCAGGGACTTGATGTATATCTCTAAATTGTTGGTTCTTAAACTTTTGGAGGTTTCATACTTTTTTATGTTTGTTGTACTGTTTTGGTTCTTTATTATGGACAATGATACTAAGATAACACCTTGTCATTGTAGTGTCTCCAGTAACCTAAGAGAGATTGTGGTTTAAAGTTTTCCCCTTTCCCCTTCATTTTCCTCCATTTATATTTCCTCTATCACTGTTCCTTCTCTCCTTTACCCAGTAGAGTTTTTTCACATGCTACCAGGGATATACATTCCCCAGCTTGAGGAACGCTGCTCAAAACAACCCAGTATATGTGTCTGCTACCCTCATGGTATTCTCTGGACTGGTACTGAAAACTAACACCTACCTGTTCTGTCTCTTTCTGCGGGTCCAAACCTGAACGTTGAGGTAGTGAGGTTGCTGTGGAGATGCACTCTTGCTGTTATGCCTGAGGTCTGTCTCTGGTTTGTTTGAGTGGTAGTGGGAAGAGGCATCCTCAGAGCATGCCAAATGGGAGAGGATAGGCAGGGCTTTGATTTTTGTAGCAACCTTGAGCATCACACAAGGCAAGAGACAGTGTAGACCATTGAGTCCCTAAGATTGTGCCATAGCATCAGTGCTGTAGTAATGAGAAGGAGATCTGAGCTTTCTTTATAGAGCTCTTATCCAAATAGTGACTACACGTGTCATAACTTAGCTTGCTAGAGCTACAAAATAGCTTGTATAATAAAGTTGTTGTAGAACTTAAAATTGCTTAAAACAAGTTATGAATCCTTCCCCCTCCCTCCCCCCAAAGGAGGTATTTTCTTTACTGCTATGAAACTGAAACTATAAGTTGCAGGATACATGAACAATGCTCTGTACTTTTCCAAGGACAAAACAATACATAGAAATGTTGCAAATAAATAAACCAAAAGCGTTACCTGCACCTGAATGAAACGCAAGACAAGAATCTTTTAATATGTTTAAATGTTTACACCCTGTTTATTGATTTGTTTTCTGGTATTTTTTTTCTAGGTTCAACAAATAGATCGTGTAGTAGAAGTTGTGGAGGAAACTATTAAAGGTGAGCATTATAATGGAAATGACTGCTGTTACACTGAAAGCTGGAAGTATTACCTAGTAACAGCACTATATGCTGTGCTTTCTACTAGGGCTGTGTGAAGCTTCAGTCACTGATTCTATTTGGTGGCGTTTCAGCGGCCAAATCTCTGAATCCGAATTGAATCAAGAGACCTTGTAATTTCTCCGAATCGAATTGGAACCCTCTGAATCGATTTGGAGAGATTCAGTGATTCGGACATAGACACAGCTTTAAATGTTTTTTCTACATACCTCAAGGTACCAGGTGGCTCGTGAACACTGAGATGGTGGGGCAGATGGAGCATCCCATGGGAGCGTGGGGGGGCGGGAACCCAGCACGCTTGGCGGCGGACCTGGAAGTGGACCAGAAGCACTTCTGGTCTACTTCCAGCTCTGCTGTGGGGTGTGCGGGGGACCCCTGCCCCCTACTCGGTGACTGGTGCCTCCTGGGTCTAGGGAGGGTACCTGGGGCCCCCCATGGCCAACTCTGGGCAGGCATGTGGGGGGGGGGGGCAGTTCCCCCATGCACCCAGCAGTGGACCCCTCCACGCTCCTGTGGGACGCTCCATCTGCCCCACCATCTCAGCATTCACAAGCTGCACCTGGTACCTTGAGATGTGTAGAAAAAACATTTAAAGCTGTGAACTTCAAATCTTCAGATTCAGATTCGGCCGAATTGAATTGGGACGGTGATCCAAATTAATGAATTGAATCACTGCCCCCTGAATCGTACCAAATCTGAATCCAAATCGAATACAGCCTGCTTTGCACACACATGCTTTCTACTCCTCTGCTTACTTTGATCATATTGCTAAATGGAAATAGTTTTGTTCATTAAGTGCTTTACACAAGAATGCAAATTTATTAAAATAAATGAAACTTGACAAAGTTTATCAGTCCTCAGCTTAAAGTTGGAAAATTCTGGGGCAACATTTTAAAGATCTTTTTATTTATCTAAATATAATTAAATGCTTTGTTTTTGTATTGTATATAATCTCTGGCTCAACATCTTTGTTTAGTGCCATAACCTCAGCTGCTTCTAAGTTTAGAACTTTTAGGTTTTCCCCTTTTTAAAATTTTTGGCTCATTTCCCTTAGTTTTCCTCAGTCTGGCCGATAAATTATCTGCTGGTTTAATGGCTCTTTGGTAACCATGCTCCTTTTTCTCACTTTACGTGTGCACACACGCATGCAGTAGTTTTCAGGGAAGTGTTGTAAAGAGTGCATTGTTTCTTCAGTCTGACAAGTGAACATTCGTTATTTAATAAATCAGTGTGTCTGGTTCTTTCTGGGTTACATGACTTTGTCTCCATTGCTGATCAGGCTGTAAAAATTACTGTTCCGAGACACCTTTAAATTACAAGGCTCAGCTAAAGTGGCTCTGCTTTTAATGTAAACAAGTGTCTGGTCCCTGAGATGTTGTCTTTCTAACTTTTGTTCTTGAGTTTTTGATAAGTTTTGAGCGTGGCACGAAGCTGTATAAACCATGCTAAGTAAAGAAGTTGCCTCTATTGACAGTTTAGAGGTTTAAAGTATCTACAAATCATTATTTAAGTGGCTCATATTGTACAATTGTATTACTTTTAACTTGTTTTTAAAAATTAAAACGGGCCATTGGCCTACTGCCAACTGAAATCGTAGTTTGCCATTAGTTTAATTGACACTTGTGGACCCTAGAAGTAGATGATTCTCATAGCATAAGACAATCAAGGTTTCTTCAAACATGACTGCACTTTTTCTCCCTTATTTACCTTGAGCTGTACCTTAAAGATCAAGAATCCCCCAAACTTGCTTGGGCAGTAAAGTAATACTCAAATTAGTGCAACTGCTTCATGGAATAACCTACTGTACTATTTGGTGGCAGTGAGAGGGCCAGAATGGGGTCTACATTGGTGAGGCAGATGTACAGAATAAGTCTTTTAGAAAAGTTTGTTCCTGCTTTCTTTTCTGTAATTGACTGAAAAAGAGAGGCAACATACTTATCTATGAAGATCTTCTGGTAATTGGTGGTATTATATGAGTCAAACCAGTGCCCCAGGAGAATCCATGCTGCTCATGGTAACCTTTTAGGAAATTTAGCTGCTGTCATCCAGAATTTGACTTGCATCTTAGCAAGCTGTTGCATGTGCTTGTGTAAATAATACTCTTTGAAGACGGAGGCAAGGCATCATTATTTTTCTAAGTGCACAGAACTTCCACTCCTCCATATCTGCTTATTATGAGGTTATTTTAAAGGGAACTAGGGCAAGATGATCACTTGGGTCAGCTTGTCTTTGCTGTGCAAATAAGGGCTTTATGGTGTTTATTTCTGAGAAATGACACTGCTGCTTTCAGGAACATGCGCAGGGCTACACAATGAGTGTTGTTCTGAGATACTACAAGCTAACTCTGCGCCAGCTAGTTCAGGTACTGTGTGCCGTATGGCCCTCTACCTGGCCAAATTAGCCTTGCTGAGTACCTAAATGGAGTTCTATATTAACACAGCTGTACTGCTTCTAGTACCTGTGCAGACTTTTTCAGATCTAACTCAGGTGTTTACATGTGGCACTGTATTATGCCATGTAGGTATACCTATGCTGTTTCTATATTATCAGTATTGAACAAAAGACAGATTAAAAGGAAGTTCAGAAAATTGGCAAAGGCAAAAAATATTTTTATTATAATTCATTAAAAAATATACTTGTTGATATTGCCCTTTTGGGATGTTGTTTCTCATTAAAATAGCTGCTTTGAAGCATCATATAATATTTGGTGCTATAAAACTAAATTTAAAAAGTGAGAACTGAGAGACTGAACATGACCTTGGGATTCTGTTCAGGTATCTAACCAAGTTCCCTTGCTGCTGCTTAGTTATGAAGCAGATAAAAGGATTAACTGGGCTCTTGAACTCAAAGATAAACCACCTTCTGTGGGATTTACTCAGAAGGTAGTGGGGCTCACAGATTTGGATTTTTTTTGAGAAATCAAAGCATAAAAATTTTTGATCTTCACAAAACCTAAGGTAATTGAGTTGAAATGTACATTTAAGGTGATGTTTAAGTCAACATGGGCCTCAAATGTAGATTATGATAATATTTTGTTTTTGCAAAAGTTGCCTAACAAAAGAAGTATTTTCATGCCTAGCTCTGTACCTCTATTTGGGATGACTCCAAGGGGCATTCTCAACTATTTGAAGCTATAAATGCTGTCCCCTCCTTGTCTCCAGTTACCTTGCAGCTCTGCACATCTGAAGCACAGAAGGAAAGACAAGTAATGAAGAGACTGATTCCTTAAAGGGCTCCACTGTAGCACGACAGGAAACTCAAACTGAGTTTACTTGTCTCTCCTTCTGTTATGGGCAGTAGAGAGGAAGTGGGGTGCCAGAGGGCCACTCCTCTGCTTATTGTGCTTCCATCATCTACCTTGGGTTAAGAACACAGTGCAAGAGAGTTAGCTGCGGAGAGGATCTCTGCCTCAAGATCTGATTCTCCAGGAAGCTTGGAGGGCCAACCAGTGTTAAACCAAGTCAGGGGTTACCATGGTTGGTGGGTTAGCACTAGAGAGCCAGTCTAAGGACGGATTTATGTCAATGTAGACATATCCCATGTAAGTAGAAAAGCAGCCTTTCAGTTGGAAACTTTTCAGAAGAGTAATATTTCTTTTCCTATTTACAACTTGATCATAGAATTATTCTGCTGGTATATGAGAATGTGAAGCTTGGTGAGGCGATGACATAAACTGAGGCTGCTCACAGATGTTCATTTAAAGGTGTGATGGGATCTGATCTCCAGTTCCAACAGCCACCTCTCCTGCCATGCCGACATGGTATAGAACATGCAGTTTTGGGATTGGAGATCAGATCCTAAACATGTCTTACTTGCCAGTGCAGGTGAGCCCAAGGTCATGATCCTGGGCTCCTGCTGCACTGACAAGTTGGAATTTGGGTGCCCAACAATCAATTAATTGTTGTCTGGCTCTGGGACTGCACTGGGGCTTCAACTGGCTCTGGCATTGTCCCCAGAGCTGGCTGACAGTCATAGATTCATAGATGTTAGGGTCGGAAGGGACCTCAATAGATCATTGAGTCCGACCCCCTGCATAGGCAGGAAAGAG